GGAGGGTGAGCAGCGCCCAGCAACCCCAGGCATTCATTCCTTGATAATACCATGAACGTCGCATCCTTATCACACAAAGCAGTTTTTCAAAGGACCAAAATATTAAGAGACACCTGAGTGAGATTTTGCTGCTCAAGTTACACAGCAGATTACGAAGAAATTGTTAGAATAATTCAAAATCCAAGCAGTAAGTAAATGTTTTTAAGTTAAGGTAGTTATTTATATCACTACCTACTGTGGGCTAAAACCCTTTTCCATACCCAGAGGCCAGTGTATGCCTGGAGGGTTTTGCAATAAGGATGATGACCAGGCCAAGAAGAGCCAGCCAAGAACCTCCACAGCCAGATTCACTGCAGAACGGTGGCAAGGGAAGGTCTCAGGAGCCTGCAGCTCAGACAGAGATGCTCCAAGGGGATCATGCTGTTGATTCACAACAGAAGGCAAACCCAAATAGGGCCTGACATCAGAGTGTAAAATGAGCATCCCAGGTAGATAAAAATTAGGGATGCTCACCAGAACACACACGTGATCATCTCTGCCAGGAGAAAACTCCTCAACAGTTCTGGCTCAGGTGACCATAGGCAGAAGTTACTGAGCTTTCCCCTTAATTAAGAACAACAAGATGTTCAATCGTTTATCAGTTTGGTTTGATCTTTGCCCTCTTTAGACGGGTTGCCTGCTAACAAACCCTTCCTGGTTCCCTTGATTTTCTGGGAAATTTGGGAGGTATATTGGGTATAAACTTCAAAAAAAAACATCTAGTCTATGTAAGTTCTATTAATATTTCCTAAATGGGACTAGGAGGACACTAGAAAGCAGAAAAACACCTCTGCCCTGCTCCTTTGGGTAAGGGGAAATGATGTCTGTTTTCTCAGATTGCAATGAATGCACATTTTGAGCAAACCCCTCCCCAGCCTGCCCAGTTTGGCTCCGGTTCCACCCTGGCCAGTGAGGCTGCCTGTGGCTACCTAGCAAGTCTGTTTTCTTGTTACTGCTGTGGGCAAGCTGTAAATTCACCTCTTCTCAACCACCCTGCGTGCAACACCAAACCAGCAGCAGTCCCGGGCACGGCCCCTTGCAAAACACACACTTGCTTGAGCCCTCTCCTCAACCAGCCCCCTAAAGCATCTGAAGCTCAGAGGAATTTCACCGGGTGGCAGAGCCTGCATTTGCAATAAACTTCATTTAACTGCCCTTGCAACACAGTGCTGGTCCCCAAGGGCTTATCACCAAGCATTTGCAGCAGTCGCTGCTTTGGTTGAATTTAAGTGGTAACAGTGACGCACCATTTCCATCACAGTTTCATCTCTTCAGAGAATTGTGCGTGCTTTAATTAGGATTTTACAGATTTCTTTGAGGTGGCAAGAAGGCAAGAGCAACAAATGACTCCCGAGTGCTGGTGTTTCTATTTCTGGCAGGGAGAGTTTTAAAGCAGCAGAAGAGCAGTGGATGGTGCCTAAAGCTGCACCCAGCAATGGGAGGCACCGAAGGAAATGGAGAACAGCACCTCCAGGAAGGGTCTGTGCCCTCTTGTGGAAAGCTATAATTACATCTTGTTACCCATTACTTAAAGCTGCATCTTCGTGCTGAGGCTGCTCCTCGAGGGAGCTAAGGATGAGACCTGCACCACCATCGACCAGGTGAATCTGGCTGTGGTGGACTTGCTCTACCTCTTCTCTTTGCCCTTGCTGATCATCAGCTACATCCAGCAGGACACACGGCCTTTCAGAGAGCTGCTCTGCAAACAGCTACGTTTCTTGTTTCACATCAATCTGTACAGCAGCATCCTGCTGCTGAGTTGCATCAGCATCCACCACTTTCTAAACATTTGCTACCCCATTGGCTTCCTACCCTGCCAGACTTGACTGCAGATGACCTAGCTGGGACACTCACTGCATCCACTCAAGCATCATGATAAAAAAAAAAAAAAGGCAGAAAAGCAGTTATGGTATACGGCTAAGAAGCAGCAGAGACATGGTAGCAGAAAGCAAGTTTAGGAAAAGCCAAGAAACTGGGTCCTATTTGCTCAAAACCTCGTCATAACACTCAACTTCAAGGAACTTGGGAAAAAAAAAAAAAAAAAAAAAAAATCAAACCAATACAGGAGCATACAAGATGCTCAACCCTGCTAGATAATCTCACCATCAGCCTTTTTAAGAGAAATGATATCAGCAACTTACACAGTACACAGCAAAACTGGTGAAAAAACCAAAATTCCATCCGCAATAAAGTCAGGAATTTCTGGAAAATATAGTGCATCTGGAATAAAAGCATAGTAATTAACCATCTTGCCACATCTGAACACTCATTAGAAAAATTATTGACCTGGGGAACTAAAAAAAAAAAAAACAACAAAATTAAACAAACAAAAAAATGTTTTTCAAGTCATCTCTGCAACAGCAGTGACAGCTTCTCTCAGAAGGGCAGACCAGATGGCCAGGACATGGTAACTGCTCCTGCTATCCAATTTTACATATGCTGACACAAACCAGAGCCCAGACTAAACAGACAGAACTACTTTGAGTTTGGTGTTTTCACAAACACTTTTTTCTCATTTAAATAAAACAAAATCCAAACCCTTCAGACATTCAAGATCACCTTCATCGGAACTCTGGGCAGAAATGCATTTGCTTTCTCCCCACCTGAGAACATGGGCAAACTCAACCAGGGAATCCAGATTAAGCCACCCCCTCAGCCAAGGCTGCTGCTATTTCTTCCTCTAACATTCAGCAGACGGAGGCTTGGCGATGAGACAGAGCAGCTTGGATTTCCAATCTGTTGATTCAAATTCAGCAGAGGTTGGTAACAACTGAAATCCACCACTTCTGACAGCTGTTCAGCAGGGCCACGTGAGCTGGTTTCAGCACAGTCCCTCATGGGTTATGACAAACAAAACCATTCCTGCCGGCTTGCTCTGGGGCCACCTCAAAGACAGGCTTCTTGGAAGGTTCGGGATGAAGAAGAGTTCACTACTGTTGCTGTTACAAAACTTCCTGGAGAATAAAAAGCTTGTTCGTAAGTACTATCTCTATGGCACAAATGATGTTCTTAGTGACCAGTATTTATGAAAAAAAAAAATCTCAAACGTGGAAAAAAAAACATTTGCATACATATTTGGAGAACACCATGAGATCTGGAGCACCACAGGGTCACTTGGGCAGCCTCTCCATTACTGAATGTTTGAAAGAGGTATTTCATGATTCATATGCATAGGAAGCTTAAATCTTTAGAGATTATTTCTATGCTTTAAACATTTCCTTTTGAAGAGGTCCGTGTGAAAGCATGCTGTGTGTGCTGAAGTCTAGGGCTTTCTGGTTTCCCATTCATGCCAAGGCACATCTGCCCCATCCAACAGAACACAGCGGGAACGTATTAGGAATAGAGATTTTTACCTTACTCAGATGGAGCTCATTTGAACAGCTCTGCTTCACCTCTTTGCTTGATCATCTGCACAACAGCAGAAGTAACAAGAGAACACCTACAGTGGCCAAGATAGGCAATGGAACATTAACCAATTTTTTAATGAGAAAGCCTATTGAAATATCCAGCAATAACCCCTGAAGGAAAGACACGTCAATAGGAGAAAAAAAAAATCCACAGCAAAAAACCCACAAACCTCACACCCAATAAAAAGGAACAGACCCACCCGAAAGCAACAGCAGCTCTGGGAGCCCCCAAGCCTTGGCATACCCCACATGAGCAGCAGTAATAGCAGGGATGGATAACACCATTTGTATTCTTCGTAAGTTACACCTCCCCTCAGAAATTTACCCAGATAAATTTGATAAAATATTGTGTTGAACTACTGTTTACTACCATAGTTGCTAACTCCTCTGTAAACATCTCCAGGCAAGTGTGCATATCCACAAGAAGAATTTAGTCAGACCACTGCAGTCCACAAGCAGAGCCCAATCCATAAACTCTGAATTTATGAAAAAAACCAAAAACCAAACCAGTCAGGAAAGCCATACTGTATGAACAGCTTCTTAGGGTTATGGGGTTAGAAGCCATTAAGGGAAGCTACACAGGAGGAGGAGGCAGTCATAAGGGTAAGCAGCTTACAGCTCAAGCCATTCCGAATTCATTGCAAACTGCACTTGCACAAATACTGCCAGGTAACACTCCAGCAGCCCGTGCTCAAACAGTCCCTCCCCAGCCATGGCAGGCAGCCTGCTCGCTGCTGTAGATGCTGGCCACATCCCTCCCACAATAACCACAACCAGATTTTCACTATCAAAAAGAAACTGTATTTGAGAATCCAAAAAATCCATCTTCCTCTTGATGACTGACCTGAACCTATGAAGTGTGTGTGTTGAAAATCTGAAGCACAAACACAGCAGCAAGACTAAAAAGGTTGGCAATAGCAAGAAGGCAGCTCTATCCTACCAAAAATTTATTGGGGGATAAGGGAACAAAAGCCAGATGGCTCCTATGCTGCACGTCCACAAATGAAAAAGCAAACTAAAGGAAATCAATGGGCTGCAATCCCTCAGAAAGGAAAGGCTAGGGTGTTTGGAACTGAGCTGACATGGGAAGTTATGTCATTTACAGAAGTCCACCACAGTACTTCAGGGTAGAATGCTCAAGGGTAGAAAGAATTTAGGAACTGAAAATAAAGTTTCAGTAAGACATTAAGTTCACAGTTACTGTCTGTCATGTCACACACGAAACGCTGGTCCATGGGTAACAGCAGAAGAATTATCTACAACCATAACATGCCAGAATTAGGAGAAGCAGGCAGCTGAAGGAGATGAAGAGACCCAGAAGAACAAGAATCTAAAACCCTCCCTCCCCAAGAATGAAAAATGCATCATCCCTCAGCGGATGAAACTTTACCTTCAGATCCTCAAAGATACACTTCCCCAGAAACTCTACATATTTCTCAAGGGAAAGCAGAAGTCATGCTTGTTTATTAAAAATAAAAATGCATGTGTAAGTCTCAACAACCAAGGGCAACAATGTAACACTAAAAAGTCAGGTAATAAAAATACAGGTGCCAGTACCCATTTAAAGCTTTTATTAAAAAAGACCCAGAATTCACAAGTCTACATGGAAAAATAAACCATCTTGCATCAACCAGTCTCAGAGCTGATAGTGTTTGATTCTCAAAGGGAGCACAGAAAGCAACAATTATCACAGATCAGGGCACCACTCCCCTTCAGCAGCAAGCTTGGCACAATTCACAACCTACTACTTGATTTTCCTAGATTATTCTTCAGAATACAGAACTATTAACCAAAATAGTCCTGGTTTAGTCTTTCATGAAGATGACAGTTGTTCAGGAAGACGAAAGAAATCTCCACTGAAAAGCATCTTTAAAGAAAAACACCTTAAGACCATGAGTTCCAGGAGGTCTGCTTAAATTACTGTAGGAAAAAAAAATTACAGGTATAATATAACATTTTTATTACAACAAACTACTTTCTCTGCAGTCAAGCAACTCAAAGGCTCGTAAGCATTTTGCAGCACACAAGGAGTCCCTGAAGTCAGCCAAGGAAAGCTCACACACCCCTGTGTGCCTTAACCTCTACTTGTGTAGCAGCTCTTCATTCTGTGTAGCTAGTGCTTCAAAAAGCCAGATGATCTTGACTTTTAAAGTAAGATTAGCTTAGTTGAGGAATAATTTGTTCGATTACATAAGTGAGCCTTTAACATTAATAAAAAACAAAGGAAAGTACTCCGCAGGAGTGGCTACTAAGATATTCAGCAACAAGCCTTTCACTGAAAATTTCACTTTCACTGAAATTACGGAAAAGCCTTGAGTTTCATTATGAAATCAACATTTTTCCACTGAATAACAGCCTTCAGTTCTTACATTTAACTCTTTTCATCATTTTTTTTAATCACAACTTCTTAAAAATACATCAATTTTCACATTAATCAGGACTTACATGAGGTTTTATTGCTAAGCCTGTGACCTGGTATTAACTTCCAGGTCTAGCACTTTTTGAACTGTAACACTGAAATTGTATAGTTTGGTTTCCTCTGAAATATTTGCTAGGACCAAAAATAAAATGGTAGTCTTTCCTTAGATTTTTCTATAAGAAAAATGGAACAGACCATTTCCAACCTGGTAACCAAGCTGTCCAACCTGAGAGGGCAAACAACCCACACCCACATCAAGGCTCATTTCACAGCAGTTTGATTACTGAAACAAAGCTTTCACATTTCAGACACTGTTGAGGAGATCAAGTCTTTGCTGGAGCTACTCACTGGCTATTTTAGACAAGAGGGTGTAGTAGCTCACGGGGTCAAATAAACAGCCAGATGATCCTTCATTGATTTACCAAAAGTGTAGAATGGGGAGCTTAAGCCAAGTATTTTGAAAATAGGATCTATGCTTGCAGAAAAGTATGATGCATCACTGTGTTCTTGCTGTGGCAGTTGTCTGTACTGGAAACAGAGTTTTGTGGACCAGGAACTTCAATGTGTTTCTGCTTTTGCAAGTGGGGCAAGCTGCTATTTCAACACACTTCTGTGCACCATTGTCGATAAATAGGAAGAGTAATTATCTGGTAGCTGCAAAAAAAATAAAATTAAAAAAAAAATCATGCATCAAAAAGAAGCCTGCTCCTCAACTTATTTGATCTGCCAGTCATTGGTTCATTTTCTTCATTGAGTTTTTAATTACCACTGGTGAGACTTAATTTTTGAAAACAAGCATACATTTAACATTTTAATTAGAGGTTGACTTGCTGGCTCTTTGAAACAATAAACCAAGTTCTTAAAATAAACATCTCATTGTGCTATTCTTCACTATTATACCTGAGCGCCTAGTTTGGAGAGGTATTTATTCCTTAAACTAAAGTCATCAGCTTTTGGCTGTAATTTAGCCAAGTCATCTTCATTTTGACGTCTGAGTCTCTCTTGTTCTTCCACTCTGGAAAAGAAAATTGGTTTAAGATATTCGCACTGAGGAGTGCAAACCCAAGCAACTTTATATTGCCATGCACACAAGTTCTATTTTTAATAACTAGAAGCAGCTTGTAATGTTTATAGATGAATACTGGATATCAGATTAAAAGAGCCTAAGAGATGCATATGGATCACTCTAATTCAGTGTAAAGAAAGAGAGAGGCTGTTTTCTGCAGTTTCCTTTTATTTAGATCACAAGACTTCAGTAGAAAGATAAACCTTTTGGTTTTCACAGATTACAACACGTTCGGTGAGCTTTTGTATCAATTTTTACTATTTTTTTATTCAACAAGCTTTCAGTCCTTAAAATAAAGATTACAATACAAAAAGAATCAATTGTCAAAAATGCAAATAAAAGACTGCTCAGCAGTCTTCAGAACTAATAGCAGTCTCCTACAAAAGAGTCAATATTTGACCAGAGCGTTGTCGCTCATCTTCCACGTACGTCTTAACCAGGACCCAACAGAGCTCTAAATACACTTAGCTTAAGACAGTGGTTTGCATTAAGACAGTGACAAAAGTAGTAACAGTGACCCATTTCTAAGCTCTGTAAAGCAATAAGCCTTATTACAGAACATAAAATGCCATTACTTTAAGAAGTCTCCACCCCCACCAAAATGGTAGTGCTGCATATAGAAGATACTTTATACTAGCCTTTATCTCAACATAAACACGTTTGTCTCGGGTTGCAGAGTACCCTCTCCAACAGCAGAGCTTAAACACAGCGTAAAACGCTGTAAACCCATTCCATTCAAATTAAGAGATGATTTGGCATTAGTTAAAACTGGTTACAAAGCATAAAATCTAGCCATTTACTGTAAAATGCCCAGCATGTTAGTTTCTTTTCCAAAGAACTACTGTCCAGTGCTGACCACCAAACTAAACACTATAATTCTTCAAGTTGACATGATGCTGATCAAATGCTCCCCACTTCTGGATGATATTTGCTATTCAAATTTCTTTTCTGCAAAAAACATTGTAATAGAAATTACTGAAAATATCCTTCTAAGACACTCTATCCCACAGCATACACTAGTAAAAAGCCATCTCACAGTAAATACTGGAAATTACAGACATCAGTACAAAGCCATCTCTCACAGTAAATACTGGAAATTACAGACATCCCATATGGGCCAGGCTGATTGAAAAAGCAGCTCTATTTGGACATCAAATTCCTTTGCTCCTGGGTATAAGGTGGGGGATTTTTTGTTGCATTTGTATTAAAATCTGGCTGTGACCTTTTGGCTCAAGAGTCATACTCATCACAACTAAGGCAGCATGTTCATCATGTTTGGTGACATTTTAGTTTCCTTGAGCTTCTCTCCAAGGGTCATACTCATCACAACTAAGGCAGCACGTTCATCATGGTGACATTTTAGTTTCCTTGAGCTTCTCTCAAGACCGATGCATAAAAAGCCCACAATTTAGGACAAGAAACCAAACCACCTTAAACCCCACAAGTCACCTGGCTACACCTTGTTAACAGGCATTTGGGGGTTTTATTCAAGATTAACTTGATTATCATCATATGGACAGCTACACAGTCCAGATTTAGACAAGTCCATAAAGCCCGTATACAAGAGACATCTTGTTAGCAAAGTATTTATCTGGAATTAATTTATATATAACTGTGAGATTTATATGATACATAAAAAAAGCCCACAAATTAGGACAAGAAACCAAACCACGTTAAACCCCACAAGTCACCTGGCTAGACCTTGTTAACAGACATTTGGGGTTTTTATTCAAGATTAACCTAATTATCATCATATGGACAGTTACATAGTCCAGATTTAGACAAGTCCATAAAGCCCGTATACAAGAGACATCTTGTTAGCAAAGTATTTATCTGGAATTAATTTATATATAACTGTGAGATTTATAATACCTGCAGGTGAAATGTAGTTATCTATGAAAAAGTAAAGAATTCCAATAACATTACAGGCAAATGAGCTTCAAGATCTGAAGAGACTCGCAGAGCTGAATTAGGTCAGAACAGAAAGCATTTCAAAAGAAAAATTCTGTGTTGTTCACCTACAAGCAGCTTGAAGTCTACAGATGTTATCTTGAAAGCTGTGACTTGCTGCACATTGACTTATTCTTACACATAAGTGTTAAAATATGACTAGAGTCATACACTCTGCCCTCTCCAACAGTTCCCAACCACAAACTCACCAAAACAGATTTAGATCTAGATTTAGATCAGAACCTCATATTTCTTAGACATGTTCTACCCTTAAGAAAATTAAACATTTGCTTTAAGTTTATTTTTTAAAAAGCCAATAAATTAACCAAGACTTCATCCCCATTGATACTACATTCTCCAAGGCACATATTTTTAATCCCCTCAGCGCTAATTAAAACTAGGAAAAGGTAACACAATTTTTGGGTGCTGAGACACTATTAGAAGAAGCATCTTCAACAATGTCCTCAGGACAAATTAGGCTGCTCAAATTCAGTCTGATAGACAGACTTTACATTATGTCTACTTTAAAAAAAAACAAATTTTTCTACACATTTAAGCAGATAATGAAGAAGCTGGAGTGGAAGGGTCTTTTGTTTGTCTTTAAGGTGACATTTCTTAATGGATACAATGCTTTTTCTTCCCTCTTCCCCTAATACAAGGCAATTATTTTGAAAGTTGTAAGACTGACCCAGTGTTTGACTCCTCTGTACAGCATTCCATACCCATGGAGAGCTTTACCCCTCATTTAACATTCTTGCATAGCAAATAAAAAAGCAAGTAAACTTTCTGCTCTGCAAAGGGGATAAATCCAGTGCCCTAGAACTAAGGATATCCAAGGATATCCTTAAAGGATATCGCTTTAATCAGTAACATTTATGACACACATCTGACCACAAACTGTTTCACATTAGCACTGCAATTTAGACTCAAGCCACAGTTTTCAGAGCCAAGTTCAATTAAAACTTCTAAATAAGACTGCAAGAAGAGCAAGCTGACACTGAAAGGGAAGTGACTGGAGTGTAGTTTCTTCTGAAGAGAAATGTAGCTTTTAATTACACTTAAAATAATTGGTCCATGCCTAACCTGACATTAAACCCAGGTAATGTTCGCTGATGACCAGGTCAGGTATGCACCATATATATGAAGCACATTTTTTAAAAAGTGATAAAACATTCTAAACACACTCCAGTTCCACTCAGTTGGAAGGCTACCAGAAATAAAGAAAAATAACCAGGTGTCTTTTTCTGGCACTTTTCCCTGCTACTTGCTACCTCCTCTAATTATTAATTCACAGGAGGCAGGAATATGAAATCCTACTACTAACTGGTAAGAAAGAAAACAACATTCAATACAAATGGCAGAGCTACAAAGAGCCTGATTTCAGACAGTAATCTACTTAATTACTTCAGTGTAAACATTTCATAAGGACACTGTTCTTTATACTTACTCATTTGCAGCTACTTTTTGCAGTTTTTCCCTTTTCTTTGCAGACCAGTTGAGATCACCACCTGCACAGAAGTAATATACACTTTGAAACTTTTTAAATTGGTCTTTTTTGCATTTTATCTTTGATATCATACCTCACTACAGAAGTTCTCAGTGCACTTGACAAAAGAAATCAGTGGAGTCATTTTACAAAAGCAGAAACTAAGGTAAAGAGAAAGATCAACATGCTCATAATCCAAGCAAGCAAAATCAGGACCCAAACTAAGCTCTCAAGCCTGATCCAGTTTTCTGTTGAGTAACAATAAAGTTTCTTTAGTATTTTACTGAGTTGTAGGGAAAGTGGAAACGACTTTGAAAGAAACAAACTAATATCCCTTCCAGATCTTTCAGTATTTACTGCTTCAAAAAAACGAACAGTTGAGAAAGAATACTGCTATTTGAAGGAAAGCCTACATAATTAAGTTTTTATATTTGCAGATACACATACAGTCAAATTTGATATGCACTTTAGAAAAAGCTGCAGAATATGCCACACTTTTGTTCAAGTCAGCTGAAGGGATAAGTACCACTGCCCTCCTGATGAGATTTAACACCACAGCAAGGTTCAGGGAATTACACACTACAGCATCTATGAAGATGATGGTACAAGGACAAGGCCTCATCAAAAGATATTCCTGGTGCTAAAGCCATGAGATACAGCACCTGCCACAGGACCTGCCAGGAGATTCAGCACCTGCCACCACCTGTAAACAGTTCAGCTTGATAACTTCAAGAATTATGACAAAAACAAATATCAAGAGAAGCTGAAAACACGTACCTGTGAGGTGATTCACAAAATACAGCATGACCACAGCTATTAGTGACACTAAAAAAAAAGGAACAGAGGAACAGTTTTAGCTGACAATAAATTTACAACAGTGACAGAACAGCTTTAACATACAACCAAGATTTATCATGGTAGTTGTAATGAGGGGAAATTTTTGCCAACAGCATCTCTTAATTGCTTTTGAAAATTCCACTATGCTCATAAGTAGCATGGTAACTCAAAAAAAGGTAATTTTAGTTTTAGTTACATCAATAACAGCCCTCCTAAACATCACCTTTAAGAGTATCATTCACCTACCCTTTTACTCAGTCTTATTTTATTATTTTTTTTAAACACTGAAACTACTTACACTAAATCATTTCAAAAGAACCACAAAACACTTCACTAGGTTTGAATTACTTTCAACATTGCCCCAGTTGAAAGCTCTAACTCAAAAGAATTTATTACTGTTTTCCAGGAATCGTAGATTCATTCAGGTTGGAAAAGACCCATGGGATCATCGAGTCCAAACATCAACCACACTCTACAAAGTTCTCCCCTACACCATATCCCCCAACACCAGATCTAAATGACTCTTACTAAGAAAAAAGCCAAATAAAGCTTCCCGAACGTACAGAATCCATTTTCAATGTTTTTAGTACTTACAGCAAACACAAGCACTGAAGAAGACTTCAAGAAACAAGTATCCTCTTGTGTCGAGAATCATCCCAGCTGCTATAGCAATAATTGCCAGACCAAGATTCTGGATAGACTGCATACTAATACATAAACAAAGGATTACCACTCTGTAGAAGTTTATTTTTGAAGAAAACATCATTAGAGGCACTGAACAAACAATGAGATTAACTTCTCCCCATTTGTTATGACATATGACAGAGACTCCACATTTTGCAGAAGCTTCTGTGCATCTGCCACAACCACATGCTCCACCACACACATTCTGAAGTTACACAAGACTTCCCACTAGATTGAACTTGGAGGAACCAGTAACCATTAACCACTTGCTATTCAGTGGTTCAATAGTATCAGGACACAGTCTCTGTATAGCACCAGGAACAGACAGATTTAAGTACTTACAAGCCATAAGCAGTTCCCAGCTGATGTTCTGGAACAACAAAGGCCACCATGGGCCACAAGGCACAGGCAAGCAATGAGTAGGCCACTCCTAGCAAACACTGGTGAAATAAGAGCAAGTGAACAGATGTTAGATGAGATGCATTTTTGCTGTAAAGTTCTAATAACTGAACATATTGATTTCCCCCTTCTCCCAAAAGAGAACAGTATTGGAAAACAAGTGTTACTTTTCCTAAGTATGCACATTTAGAAGGAGAGAGAAGTTTTTCCAGGAATGACCCACAAACTAGACCCTATCTAATTATCATTAAGTAAAGAGCTTGACTTGAATATCCAGAGGAAACGATTAATGCTGCAACTCACTAGGAAAATACCTGAAAGCAAGGATCCTGTTTTTAAACACTTATACACTGGTATTTAACCCTGTAAACCTTAGTTCAAAAGCAATTCTTCATGGAATCTGCCCTAGGAAAGTAAACCAATAACAGATTCTTATTGACATTTGCCACTATCCAATACAGCACATTAGAGATAGTTTAAGAAACAGTAATAAGCTTCAGAACTACACCAAAAGAACAAGTTTTAGGAGAAAGGCAAGCACTTAATACAGTAATCTAGCAATAGCTAGTATAAGGAGTGCCATGAAAGGAGACCTCTGCATCAGAACACCACCAAATTGCAGATACTGTGACAAAATGAGGCCATCTCTGAAGGGACAAGGAATTGCCACTCCATACAGCCCTCCCATCTAATCCCATCCTTCCCAGGAAGCTGAACATCCTTTTGCACTAAACGACAGAATTACTACTACAGACTGCAGCAGCCAGCCTTTTTCACCTCAAAACAGAGATGCATAACTACTGCTTCCTTCCACAAAACACCAAAACCTGAAGTGTTGTCTTCAGACCACAGTTACTTCACGTTAGTTCTGCCTGTATTACGCATTCTTTGCTTTTCCACCATCTTCAAACTCAGTTTACATAGTCCTCAAAGCCTATTTTTATGTCCCTGACTTCAAGAAGGATATACTATCTAAACAGTCAGAAGACAGTAGCAACGTATGCAGAATAATTCAGCATCAACTCCGTTTCTTATTTTATCACATTTAGCTATAGGTCTCAGAGAATTAGTTACCATTGCTATCCAGGGGTTCCAGAAGGTAAAAGCCAACATAATATGAGAAGCAAGTGTAGTTATTACAGCACATAAAACCCAGATGATATTCTTTCCAACTTTATCCACCAGGAGTCCAAAGACTGGGGACATGGGCGCTGATATGATATACACAATACTACAAGAGAATAAAAATAAAAGAACTGAACTCTTGGAATCATATACCAGCAAGTGTTTCATTGTTTTGGGGTTCTGTTTGGTTTTTTGGCTCCATCACAAATTCATCTTCAAACCAGGAAAACATAATTCATTTAGTGTCGTTGCTCAGTAAATCAACCATAACATACCTGTTAATTGCACTTGCTTCTTGAGATGAGAATTTGAATTTCTCAATAAAGAAAACCCTAAAAAAAAAAAAACAAAACACAGATTTAGAAAAATACATACTTGTATGACACGAAAGAAAAATTAAGCTAGACAGAATAAAGGCACAACAACCTAGTTTACAGGTAACACTTAAATATACCTATACAGCTTTGACATAAACACAACTGTCCACAGCTTCCCACACCAAAAAACTCATGTCACACTTTAACTCTGTATCAAGTTTTAATCAGGAAACAGAGCATGCGTTAGGCTTTTGAGTTCTGACAACTCAGCCTATGGTATTTCCCACAAAGCTCAGCAGATAAGGAAACTGTAAGAGCTGTTTTAATTCATATCACAAATATAGCAAACAATGCCATAGAAAAAAATGACAAACCACAGCACAGACATGCTGGGAGACCAGTGGTTCTGTAACCACCTGAGATTCTTAAGCATTAGCCTTCGCCTCTCCCTTTATAAGTAGCTAGTTAAACCCTGACCAAATTCAAGAGGAATGAGTATGTGAGAGAACTTACTTTCCAAGTCCAATGAAAGGGAAAACCGCTGCATAGTAACAGACGCAGATTACAAATATCAGCCACAAGGACAAAGAGAAGTCCTTCACATCAGTTAGCTTAATCACTTCACCTGGAGTGGGGCAAGAGACAACATTGTTTCAGCCAGCATAAGTGTTTATCTGAATAATGTTTATTCAGTGAATAAACATTAAGGTGATCACAAGTCACTACTGAAGCATACGTTCCTGCTGCTATCTACTCTCTTGCTTAAAGTTTGCAGAGCAAGATTCTGTTAAGAATACACAGGTCCTAAATCAACAGTGCCAAAGTCAAGAAGAAGTTGTCTCTCCCCACATTAAGCTGGATGTACAAGCTCTCTAAAGCTTTTGAAAGTATTAGCAGCAGAATTAAATACAAACCACTTTTTCATGGAAGTGTTTAATAAGCTCACAAAATTTAGGTCTGAAGCCTCATGTCATATGCTTGCTCTTGGATCTCAAATTTAGCTTATTTTCAATTGGTTCAAATTCTCCCCCACAAAAAACTCAACATTACACATTGATGGAGAAGAGCTGTGTGTTTTTGCACACCTATTAAAGGAGATACAGCCAATTCCAACAAAAAAAGTGCCAGAGGTAATGGCACAGATCCAATTGATGTGAACTGGGAAGCTCTCCACATGCTTTATAAATAAAACAGACTATACTGCATCTGCCTGTAAACTGGTGTTTAAAACTCCAAAACTTCCTATTGATATAAAAATGGACTAAATGTTATGATTAAAGCTATAACTGTGAAAAAGCTGTTAAGGGGCAGAGAATGCAAACCTACACAGTGCACAGAGTAACGTTATGATTAAAGCTATAACTGTGAAAAAACTGTTAAGGGGCAGCCACCGAATTACACAGAATGCAAACCTACACAGTGCACAGAGTAACTGGAAGGTCTGTTCCAGAACAAAAGAATGAAGCCCACGTTAGGTTCAGACACAGCACTCACCCGTTTTCCCTTGCTCTTTACAAAGGAGCTTCTGTGCCCTCTTGTCCAGATAAGCAAGGATCAATGCACAGGTCAGTGAAAAGAGACATGTTACTCCACCTGCAAGAAGGCAATGCGACATGTTTAGTTGTTGACTCCAGTAGTAATTTGGCTTTTAAGCACAGCTAGTGTAGCGTACCTTTACATATCTAATACAAATCAAGTTTTAATCAAGTTTAACACCAGCTTCTTGTAAGACTCAGTCTCTGTACAACTCAAAGAATAAGGTGTAAAGACTGAAGTCTGCCACAGGAGAGATATCTGCCTTGAAGAAGAGTGCAAACATGTAACTACATTTATTTTATTTAGACCACCACTACCATTCCCACTTAGCCCAGCCAAGCTCCTTATCTGTACCTTGTGATAACAGAAACAAAGCCTGGGCCTTGTTACTAAGTCCTTAATACCCATAGCTCTGAAGGAAAGGAACACAGAGCCAAAAGTAGTTGAAATTTCACTTTTACACATCAGACTGACAACTACACACAAGCTTTGACATTATAACTTTTGAAAAAATTTTCAAGACTGTCCTTTACTCAAAGCATGTGAAATGTTTCATCTCCATGAGATACAAACTTGAGTTTGGCAACCAAAAAAAAACCACAGCATTTTATCAGATACACTAATCATACACTCTGCATAAGCATATTAGCCATTGATACAAACAGTACTTGAATTGCTCTTCCTAGTCTCAAATATATTTATCCTGCTTTTAAATTAGAAAGAAATCATTAACACACAAACCACACCATTTTATCAGATACACTAATAATACACTATGCATAAGCATATTAGCCATTGATACAAACAGTACTTGAATTGCTCTTCCTAGTCTCAAATATATTTATCCTGCTTTTAAATTAGAAAGAAATCATTAACACACAGAAGCAGAAAAGAGCAGGTGACATCAATTCAAAATATTACTGACCTATCATGAGAGTTAACCCAAGAGTACTGGGACCAGTATAGCCCAGAAGATCTCGAACTCTAGAGTATATCCATCCCATGATATTCATGTTCACCGTGCTCCCCTAGACAAAACAGACTCATGTGAAGAATAACGTATTTCACAATTATATGGATTCAAAAGGAATATTAAATAGAACAGTGCTTAAAGAAAAACAGGTAAGATGCTACACAGGGAACATAAACCACCAGCAACAACAATAAAAGTATTCCCTGATGATTTGGTCAGTGTTTGTAGAAAATTCACCATTGCAACAATAATATACCATCACAAACTGAAACTTTATACAACTCTAACCGTGTTCCAATGGAGACATTAGAAGTTCCATAAATTTACATCGTACCCTGCATGAGCTGATAAACTGAGTTGAATTTAATACCACATGTTAAAGCCAACAGGATTCTCATGAGGCACCAGGAAGAAACAGTTTGGGGTTTTTTTTCCCCCCTTTCTTCCCCTAGAGCAGGGACCCAGGGCTGCAATCCCATGGCTAACAACAGACACCTAACTACAGTTCAGCTGAGATGAGGCAACTGCTAATTAGCCACAGCCTGAACATCAACTCAGACCCAGCTGCGACCAGCTAACTCTTTTACAGAGGTAAACACTGCAGTGGTATTTACAGGCTGCTAAAGAGGACCCCCAACAGGAGAGGCAGGTCTCCACTCTTCATTCACAGCCTGGTGCATTAATGCAAACCCACCTCTGGCAGCAGTTAAGGTGATTGTATCAAACCAAAACAGTACAGCTGAGATGCAGTCACACAGTTCTTATCAGAACCAGCAACAGGGACAAAAAACATCTTAAAACAGCAGATAAGGATGGGAGTTCTAAAAGTAGCCACCCCAACTCGTTTACCAGAGCCTTCACCTAGTCCCCAAGCTGTAAACCACACTCAGTTAAGCCAACATTTTATGATATGCCAAGAATCAGTAACTGATAAAATTCAGCACTGTGACCATCCCACCCAGTAACCTATACTAGTAATGCCCCCAGGCTTCTTTAGAGGTTTCATAAGTTTTAAGAAACCTTATTAACCTATTTAATTGTGTATCATTTGTCTATGTATCACAAACTTTTTACCATTTCAAATTTAAATTTCATAACTATTATTAACTAAAACTCCCTAAGGAGCATTAGAAATGCCATTTTCTGCCTGTCTCCCTACTAAGACAAGCTGCACACCTTGAGGTCTGTGAATTAAAGCTCCACAGTTTTACACTTACAATTCTTGCCATGCTTAGTTGTAATCCAAACACAAGATTTAACTCCTTGCCTTTAAACCAACTGACCGCATATGTGTTTTGTGCCACCGCTAACGACTCTCCACCTATTCTAAAAAAAGAAGGCACAAAAGAAGACACATTACTTAAAATATGCAAAGCAACAAGGAAGCAGTCCATCAGTTGCTGGCAATACCAAGATGACAGTATTTCAGAGAAATTTATCTATGTACAGGTTGATCTAACGTATATATGTGAAATTCAAAAGAGAATTGCAGCACCTTAAGAATAATTAAGAGTACAAGGTATCTTAATTACCTCAGAAACAATTAAAATTGCCTTTAGTCACTTACAGAAATTAAATCAATAGGCAGCAGTTTCTCATTTCTCTTCTGCATTAAAGAACCAGGTGATATAGATCCTGACCCAAATGAAACCAAAACCAGGGATCTTCCCTGGAATCTGAATTTCAAAGAATCATCTGCCCATGCCCCGCTACAGTCAGTCAGATGTTCCAGCATTTTTATACTTTGGCATATCCACAACTTGGAGGTATTTCTTCTGACATATGTTCTCATTTTTACCACCATAGCAGATCTGTTGCATTTGTTGTTGCTAAGAATTCTTTTTACCCAGAAAAGTAAGAATTAAGGCAGAAGGAGGACTACAAGTTTTATCAGTTTACTGGATGTCTTTATATCAGTAGTTTCATAATTTGTGAATTCAGTAAGACCTGCAAGGTCTTATCTTTTATTTTCTAACTTTGACTGGAAATACAACCAAAGATCTTGCATGCTTCAACAGCCAACAATTTTGTCTCTGAGTGTAAACATGGCAGCAGCTTTCTAGGACACAGACAGTCCCTACCTTGGAAAGCACACACTATACTCTTCTAGACTTACCCAAATATGAATCTGCCCATGTCCATCAGCCAGAAAGTATTAAGTAGTGCTCCCAAAGCAAAAATTACCTGCCACAAACATTTAAGGAAAAATTATAATTTTATATTTGAAGTATGGAACAAACTAGAACGGCCTCGAAAGAGAAACAAAAATGCTTTCCCTTCCCAGACCTGCAGAAATCCTGCACACCCACTTTCTACTCCTAGATTTTTGCTTTGGCTCCCTCTACCTTTTTCATCATCCCACTGGCTGCACAACATTCAACGTGGCCCATTCTGAAACTGCACTCAGAACACACCTTGACAGGCTCAAGTCATGCTTCACCTTTATCCTCATACTCTACCCAAATAAACCTACACAGCAGTTCCACATCAAACAGACAAAAACTTGGTTCCTTCACATTCTTATTTCACTTATCTTTCAAGGTCCTCATTTCCCCATTACCCCACCTGCTCCTAAGGGCCCCAATAAAATTCAGAGTTTTCCCTCACCTGACTACCCCCTGCTGAAACATATGCTACTACACACGAACCCATTTGGGCTTTTCCCCCCACCCCTAGTAGAAAAGCTCCGGATACAATATCATCTTTCACCCTCTCATTTGCACTTACCTGCCCAACACAAACAAAGATGCTAAATATTATAGTGCCCAGCCTGTAAGAAAAATAAAGTCACTTAATACATAGCTAGACTCTTTTTTCCTATAAAACACTTTATTAGGCCTACAGCAAAGAAACAAGGGGAGTCTGGCATGCCATAAAAGTTCTCTGTAATAAATGCTACAGCTTGACAGTTTCCTTAAAAGAGGCAGTACAGGCTGGCTTTTTTCAGCACCACTTTATTTAAGCATGAAGAGAAAGAAGCTTGTTTATACCAGTGGAAAGTCCTAGAACTTGTGAAAAAAAGAAAATCAACACCTGAAAACGCTTACTACAACCTGAAAAAACTTTGTATTATAAAGGCTATACCTCACAAGCACTTTAAGTCTACCATCCATTGGACACGACTAACGCCAACACCACACTTACCGTATTCCAAACACTCTGTCTATCAGAAAACCTCCAAAGAAGCAAAGAACCACATTGGGCCAGGAATACCAGGCGTAGAGTGCCATGAACTGCGCTGTGTTCACCTTCATATCCTGCACACAGAAGGGGGGAAATAAAAAGTTGCCACAGGGACACAGAACAAGCATCCGAGTAGGAACAGGCAGACTGTCTGACCCGGCCTGACGCTCCCCGGTCTCCATAACCTTCTTCCCCAGGCAGCTACTCACCCGTTGAACCTGCGTTTGGAGCGCCGCCGGGTTGTCGTAGCAGAAGTAGCTGCCTGCAAGGAGAAGGGGAGGCCTCAGAGCTCGGCCCCGGCACCCCAGACCCCTGCCCGCCCCCGCCACCCACCGAAGCCCAGGAAGCACATGAGGGCGAGGACAATGAGGCGGTGCGGCAGGCGCCGAGGATCGCAGACGGCGGGGAGGGCGCGGAGGGAGCCCGGAGAACCCCCTCCACCGCCGCCGCCATCATCACCGCCACCGGCGGGGCCCAGCAGCGCCCGCTCCTCTTCCGCCATCGCTGCCGCCATCACGTGAGCGGCCGTCACGTGGGCTCCCCGCGAGTCAGGTGGGCGGCCGCGGGCCCGGCCCACAATGCACCGCGGCCGGTTGCCATGGCAGCGGGGCGCGCGGGGCGGCATGGCGGCTGGCAGCGGTCCCCCTCCCAAGTCTGTGAGGGAGGAGGAATGCGCTCAAGTGAGAAGTATGAAATCCCCACCGTCAGATACTGCGATTAATGAGGCTTCTGAGTTAAAACAGGAACATAAGGGTGCCGCTAAACTCCTTAAAATCATAGAATCATAGAATCGTCTAGGTTGGAAGAGACCCTTGGGATCATCGAGTCCAACCATCTACCCTACTCTACACAGTCCTCCCCTACACCATGTCCCTTAGCACTGCATCTAAACGGCCCTTAAACACAGCCAGGGATGGTGACTCCACCACCTCCCTGGGCAGCCTGTTCCAATGCCCTATCACTCTTTCGGTGAAAAATTCTTTCCTAATGTTCAATCTAAACCTACCCTGTTGGAGCTTGAAGCCATTCCCTCTCGTTCTGTCACTAATTACCTGTGAGAAGAGACCAGCACCAACCTCTCTACAGTGTCCTTTCACGAAGTTGTAGAGAGTGATGAGGTCTCCCCTAAGCCTCCTCTTCCTCATACTAAACAGTCCCAACTCCCTCAGCCACTCCTCATACGATTTGTTTTCCAGCCCCCTCACCAGCTTCATTGCCCTCCTCTGCACTCGCTCCAGTCCCCTGAATCCCTTAGATTCCAAATCCCCTGGAAAGGTCCCCCTGAACTGGCCTCCTGGTCAGGTGAGGGCATTAGCGATATAGACTGTGCCCAGAGTTGCGGCAGTGACAAAACGGTGTGGTAGGCACACAGCTGGCAGGGCATTATTTGCGGTGTTAGTATCTACAGCCTCCTTTTCTATTTAAAGGGAATTTAAAGGCAGGCCTATAGTCAAACGGCAAGCGAGCTCCATGGAGGAAGGGTGTCTCTCTTGCCTCTGGTTGATTTAAAATGTGAAATGCTGGGGGGTCATTTTGTTTCCCCAGCAGGCAGGTTTCCCCTCTCCGTGTGCGCCCTGCCTGGTGCTGGGGTTGCCAAGGAGGCTCCCCTGCCAGTGCTGTGGGCCCTTGCATCCTCCACAGCTTTGCCAGCCTCTCTCCTCCCATAGCTAGGCTTCACTGGTTTCTATTAGTATTTTGCTTGAGACATTCAAGAGGAATAAACCTGTTGTAAGCAACAGCAAAGTGGAAAAACAAAACAACCACCCAGCTTAAAGGTGTAGACTGCAATAAGCCCTACAGTAACCATACAGGGAAATGCAAAAGCTTGTAAAATTGCTCCATTATTGCTCCTTTCAGCTATTAAAGTCATTTTACTTCAGCTGTTTGGTCCAAAAAGGCCTTCCCATATTAGACAAACCCTTGAAAAAGGTACTTACTCACTTTAAAAATGTCCACCCTTCTGTCAAATTTCATCTTCTTACACCAAAGATTACCTGAATCCTATGTATACATCATCAAGTGAGAGATGGTGCTGTGCTTTTGATTAAAATATGTTCTCAATGAGGGCAGAAATACTTGGTGTTTAAGCCAAAGGATTTATTTACCTTTTCAAGATGATAGGAAAAAAAAGGGTTGTGTTTTACCTGACGTGCTGTGAACTAAAAGGTCCACTTCCAGCTTCTCTGTCATTAATTTGATCAGTAACCATTCAAAAAATGCTGGTATCGCATGCTTGTGCATCTGCTGTGAGCTACTATTGGGCATAAAATGCTTACTTTTCACTCAATACGTGCCTTTTAACAGATCTGTCAAAAGAGAACTATGTTATGAAATGATGGGGTCACAATTTCAACTGCCCTAAAGTAGTCTAGATTGCTTGAAATCAGAGCAGCTCTTTCAGTTTACTGTATTTGCTTGTAAAAACAGGGTCTTAAACTGCTCCGTTGCAAAAGCACCCGTGCAACAAACAAACTGCCGGTTTCATGGCCGCTTGAGGGAGCTCAAAGGTAATGCGTGGCCATGCAGATCACCTTGAGTTTCATAGGGGGGCATAATTAAAGGAAGAGAGTTTATATACACAAATAAAAGGGATAATTTTGGAAAGCAAAGTTATACATAGCAAAAGTTTGTGTACAGAAGGTAAATGTAATCTTTTTCCTACCCAACTAGCCCAATGATTCCAGGAGTCCATTGTCATGCCACTCAGTATTTTTCCAGGTCTCTTCGATCCACAGAAAATGTTTTCTTCATGCACACATTCTAGTTTCCCTCCAGGACACAAATATGGCTGTTGCAAAAGGCCAGAGTCCCCAGACTACCCTCCCATCATCACTCTCAGAAAGGCAATGCTGAAAAACTCAGGACACAACTGGATCCATCGTTGGTGAGGGTGGAGGAGCCCCAAGCCCACTCTGATCATGAAATACAGGGCCAGAGCCAAATGAAGTGAGTTCTCTGTGGCTCACAGCTGCTTCCCCAAGATCCTCCTGCTTCATTTCGAGCATAATCTTAACCATGGGAGTTCCCGAGGCTTTATATTGTGGGTGAAGGAAGATAAGAGTCTTAAGCAGATAAGGTTCTTTAAGTAGTAATACTTTGATTTTATTCTTTAAACTCTAATATCAGTTTCAAATCAATCTGATGTGTAACTCATATGGCCAGCACTGATAAAAGGATCCCACCGAAACTGTTTCATGTAACTTTTGATCAATTTTATTAGTGAAGACATTTAAAGGAAGATCATAAGGGCTTTCTAGCTCCATAATCAAAGCAATAGGCAAAACCACATAGCAAATACACACATTAAACTACAATTTGTGATGTAAAATGATAATACTATGGCCAGATTCAGCTGTTTATGCCAATGGGAAGAATGGAAGTGAACAGCTTTCAGAGACTCTGGGGATATCCTCACCAAAGCTCTTGTTTGGTTGACTTCAATTAATGAATTAACTAGCACAAAAAATCCTGTGATCTTTCAAGCTGACTTGTGGATCAGGATTTCATTCTGGGTACTTTTCTTGCAGTGTTTTGTACACTGAAGCCAAAAAAACCCACATTCTGCAAAAGTATCTTTGAGAACTTCCAACAACCGGGGGCAGGTTGTCACTGCCAAGTACAATGACAAAGAATTCCTGGAAAAATAATCACTCAGCAAAGAATATTATCTTGACTCTCTGCAGACATAGCAGTAGGATTTTAAGCACTGTTTCTCCCACCTTCTTGTCACATTTCAGTTTATGTAAATCCCTGTAGCATCACAGTCCAAGCCTTCCTTACTGAAAGAAATTGTGTGCCACTGTTGCGTCAGTAAAACATCAAAAAAAAAAGCATCTCCTTCCTTTTCTTGTAAAAACAGAGAGACAAGTCTGCTTCAGCACATACCACCTCAAAGGCTGAATACTGTTTAATGATCTCTCTCTAATTTTAGTATTTATACTAGAGTCCTGGATTTGCCTTTTCTATTTCAGTCATTACCCAAATGAGCTGTGTTACCCTGAAAACCGCAAGTTCATGATTTCATAATGTGTCTGCTTTTTCTTGTCCTTTCTTCCACCTGCTCTTGGGACACCAGGAAATTCACTTATTCTATGATTTCCTAAGAAATGAATGCATGAGTGTTAATGTCACACTTTGCCAATGAAGCCTTGTCATTCATCCCTTATAATATCAATTATTTTATTCCCATTCTCCTACTATCACACAGAAACTTGTGAAGTAGGAAGGATTTAAGCTATTTAAAATGCTACCTAAATAATTTAAAACTTACTACTTATGTTACTTCTAAGCAGGTTCCACTGAGCAAAATTAATTCAATACCAAAATAGTAAATGTAATGGCAGGAGGGTTATCCACGTGGAGCACAGCCGTGGCAGGTTCCAGTACAAGAAAGGGTTTTTGTGCTTTCATTCATTCTTGAGGGAGTTTTCATAAACCTGAAACACATGCAATTTTATTATATTCATTTTCAAAGATGTCAGTGGGTTTTTAATGTTATTTTCTTGGCTGTGTGCTTAAATATTTCATATTATACAAGACTGGATTTGTACTTTATCTTGTTTGGTATAACATAGCACCGTTTATAGTGGAGTAAGAAATTACACTCATGTATCTGGAATATTTAACAGGAGAAAAAGAATATTTTTCCATTTGCTGTTTCAAAATATTTGCCATTCCACCCCTTTCTTCCCAGTCACTTCTGTCTTCACCTTGGATATGACCTTGCTGTGCCTGACGCTTAATGGCTGTAATGTGCAGTGTGTGTTAAGTCTAAGATGATTCTCAAATGCATTGCAGGTGAGTGTTTATGTCACAAATAAATACAGTGGATTGCTCTTAAACTCATACTTTAGAATGTTTATTACAGATGCAATTTCTGTCTTAACATAAATCAAAGTACTTAAAGTGCCATATGATACCAAATGCTTAGTTTAACAGCATAAAATTGAGCAAAAACTGTATACAGTACTTTATAGGTGCTATAAAATTCTTGTGCTTGTGGCCGCACCTTTTTGCATTGCCCAGATCAATCAAGTCCCCTGAAAATTCTGGATAGTAAATACTCACATGAAACAACGATTAGCTTTCAGAGTTTAGTTCTTCTAAGTTATTACCATCTTCAGTGAAGATGCTTCAAAATATGACAAAATTGCAAAGAAGCAGGAACTGCACTTAACATGATTAAATTTACTTACCATCATTAGACTATTACCCATTCTCTGAAAGAAGAATCTCCTGCTTTGCCTCCAAGATGCATTAGCAACTTTTTATGAAAGATCCATCATACATAGGCATGCAGATATGTTTTTTTTAATCACTTCATGTGTTAAGGAATGCATTATTACAAAGCTCTCCGAGTTCTGTATGCTTCTTGTCTCACTCAAATATTGTTTGACTCACGTATTTAATCTCCTTATGACATGTCTAATCTCTATAAATACCTGTGAAAAGCCTGAGGAAGTATTTTTGCACCATGAGTCTATCTCAGACCAAAGATCTTCTTCTTAAGGAACTCCTGAGGTTGGAAA